AAACTACCAAAATATGCATTTTCCATAGGTTAAAAAAGTACTAAAATATCAGACCCCATTTTCCATCCACAACAACATCAACAATCCATCATCAACCTTTAATCACTGCTCTAATTTTTACAATAACAAATAAAATGTTGAACCCAACAACCATCTTCCACCACATTGCGTTTATCATCTTCTTATTTTCCTCATATTCTCTTATTCTTCTAAGGAGTTCCAAAATCACGTGTTGAATATGATTTGGCATTGGTGGATCATGCCATTGGAAGAAATTGCACTCACCAGGCATCTAAAACCAATAAAAACACACAATAAATCAAAATAAAAAAGGAACAAATATAATGTATTTTCCACATACATAAATTTTCTACAGCCATAAAATCTTTTGCCAAGATTCGCCTCAGTCCAAGACACCTTCAACATCGTTGTTTGACGATAATACAATTGGGAATGATATAATCAGCTGGGATTTCAAACATTCTTCAATTGTGTACATACAGAACCAATTTCGCATTGAGTGGGGGAGAGAGAGATCACGGAATGGGGTTTTTATAGCTCAAACCCTAATTTAAGATGTTGAAAGACGAGGGAGAAAGCAGTTGTAAAAAGGGAGGGAACAAATCTATCCTAACAACGCCGTTTTGTCTAAGTCATTATTCTTTATTCATGTTGGCAGACTTCATTTCATTCACACCCCACTCTGAGATTTGAATGTACACATGCGTTGCCAGTGTGGAAAAGGTGTTAATTTGGTGCATAATTTTGAACATCAGGTGCATGATTGGTAGGGTTATTTTGTTAAAGTTCAGGGGCCAATCTATGTATAATATTCTTCATATAACTTGATAAAAGTTAAATTTCCTATGACCTAATTCATAAGAATTTTTAGGAAAATGATAAGTATATGCATGCTTTAGGTGTATTTATGTTTCTTAAAATATATTAAGTGATTTTGAATGAATTGATGGGAAAAAAAAAGTCTTAATGAGTGTTCCTATAACTTGAAATATGAGAAATCTTGAGTTTATACTATAAAGCTTGCATGTTTAGCATATGTATTTGCTTATATATATTTAAGGAATGTTTGAAGTGAACTAGTTGATGAGTATGTCTTGAATATGAAAAAATTCCTATGATAAGCATTTTATGCAAAAGCATGGCTCTTTATGGTTTTGTTAGATTCTAAACTAAGAACCTTTGATATGAAATTCCTATGATAAGCATTTTATGCAAAAGCATGGCTCTTTATGGTTTTGTTAGATTCTAAACTAAGAACCTTTGATATGAAATTCCTATGATAAGCATTTTATGCAAAAGCATGGCTCTTTATGGTTTTGTTAGATTCTAAACTAAGAACCTTTGATATGAAATTCCTATGATAAGCATTTTATGCAAAAGTATGGGTCTTTATGGTTTTATTGGATTCTAAACTAAGAACCTTTGATGACTTTGAGTTTACTAAAAGAATATAAAATTCTATGGGTAATCTTATGATTTAAGAAAGCAAGTAAAATTTTGGGCTCTAATATACTTGGTGTCAAATTGTTGTGTGATTGGATTTATTCTGTTTTATGAGCATGCTCGGCACTTGGTGCTATTCTGTTATTTGAATATAGTTATGGTTATATGCTTAGCATGTGGGTGTCCTCTGTATGAGCGGACGCACTCTATCTATTTCTGTTTGGCTTTTAAAGCCCCTCGACTATGTTGGCGTCTAAAGCCTCTCTGACCCTACTTTTGTTAATTTGATTTCCTTCTTTTCTGCTAAGTGTATATGTGGGCCCCATAAGTAAACAAGACAAGGAAATTTGACTTAATAAGATAACATAATATAATATGTGTATTTGTGAGTTTATAACTTATACCTAGAATATACATTCTTAAATTTCATGATTTATATGTGTTATGTTTAATGAGATAATACTATGTGATTCTAGCTTATTTATATGTAATTATGTTATTAAGTGAAGATATATGACATGAGTATGAGAAGTCTAGATTCACATGTTAAACATGACTATATGTATTATAAATGCTTAAGTATGGTTAATCTTGCATGATTATATGATTATGAGTCTGAATGTTAAATTATGATTTGAATGTATGTTGTCATCACAACATTTGATGTATGTGATTTATGAGCAACATCAGTTTTATACTCAGCGCGTCAATTTCTATCACACGTAGGTTGTTAACTGAGGTGCTAGTAGAAAATCAAAATATCAGCATCAGAGCAGAAGGATTCCTTTTTGGTAGTTTTAGATTATGTCTAATATGTATTTGTTAATTATGGCATCTACACCTTAAATATAATTGGAGGTTATTTTATTTGGAGCAAATGTATAAGTTTTATGGATTTATATTACCTTTGGGTTGTAGACTTAACTCTTAAGTTAATGATGTATGAATGAATTATGGAACTTATATTTAAAAGTGTTTATGATAATTTATGATTTTGAGAATCATGGTGATGATGTTGATTAAATGATTATGCATGTATTATATATTGAATTTGAGATTTATTATATATTGGGTTGTTGGATGATTGAGGAATTGAATTGGAAGTGTTTTATATTCACAAGTTTTAGTTAAATCCAATTTTTGGGAGAAACTCTTGCAGTTTTTTTATAGGATTTTTCAAATTATTTTCTGAGTTAAAATTAAAAACTTACTAGACTTGTTAATACTTGAACACTCTTAATTCATATACTTAGTTTTAAATTTTAATTGGGATGCTAGGTTGGTGCTTCCAGATCGAATGTGGCATCCGCTATCTAATCTTCCGGGATTGAACGGAGGGTGCTGTACAGACCCTTATTGATTGGATAATCACTTTTTAGAATAGATCCATACTGATTGGGTAATTACTTTCCAAAACAGACCACATCTATTGGGTAACCACCTTGCAAAATAGATCCTTACCAATTGAGCAACCAGTTTTCAAAATAAACCCATACCAATTGGGTAACCACATTTCAAAACAAACTCACACTGTTGGATAGCCACTTTCCAAAAGTGGACTCTCAACTTTTGGGTAAATCATATCCGATATCTTAGAGTCCTTATCAAATGTCCTCCATTGGCCAATTTGTTTTAATCTGATCTAAACACTGACATTCTCTGTCTTCTTAAAGGTACCAATAGCATGATATTATAACGAATAATGACATCTTGATTCTTGAAGCCTTCAAGACATGTTCACCATCCTCCTCAGAAAGCAAGAGAGTCCTTCAAATTCATCCTCATTGATGCTCTTGGCTGTCAAAAACTTATCATCCTTGAAGAAGTTAAAGATATGTTTCATAAACAAATTTCTAATTGCTCTTCCACCACTTGCAAGGAAAAACTTTTATTGTGATTTCAGAATGTTGTTATGTTATAATCTCAATCGTTACTGCTCTCTGGACATTTTCTTTGTTTACTTATAAAAGTTGTCATTCTGTTATATTTTCTTAATTATGATTCTTCTTTTTTTTTTTTTTTTTTTTTTTCTTATTATGATTCTTCCTTTTTTTTTTTTTTTTTTTTTCCTTTGGGTTTTCGGGCGCATGGTTATTGTGAATATTTTTGTTTCCAGATGTGATGAAGAAGTATATGATATTTGTTTTATCAAAAAAACCTAACCAGACATTTTGGATTTTAGGAACCGAGAAGTGTTTTTGATGGGTTTGTTTGATGATTTCCACAAACAGTTCAATTAATACCTATGGAGGTATAAATTGATAGTTGGGTGGTATGGTTCCTTTTAATGGGTAATCCTGAAATGTAGTTGAGAACCTACAAACACTCAGATACTTGCGTTAGAAGTATAGGGGTTTATAAGAGTTGGTTGAAAGCGTTGTGCCAAATCAATTTAAATTGACCCATTCGTTTTTTTCTTTCCTAACCCAAACCAACCAAAAAGCTTTTTGGATCTTTTGGTGATCATGAAAATCAATTAACAGAAAATATTTTCTTGGTTAAAGGAAAATTAAATATTTTTTAACAAAAATGACTTCAAATTTTCAAGAGAGAAAAATATTTTCCCAATATTGATAAATTTATTATAAACTTATAAATATATATTTGATAATTTAATAACCGATGGCCACCATCATCGGCCACCAACAACTATTACAATTTATCATTTTTCATGCAATTTTCTCCCATATTTAATAATAAATGTTTAGAATACGACATTTCTATAATTATAGATATTTTTATGGTCTTGTAAATTAAACATTTTATATTTTCAATTAATTTTGATTATTGCAACCAAACAATAAAGGAAAATAAGTTATTTGAAATATTTTTCTATGGAAAACATTCTCCTTAAATAATATTTTCCAAAGACATTTTTTTCCCAAAAAAAAATGAAATTTGTGGCTGATGTGTCATATAAATTAGAAGGTATGAATGATCATGTGATTAAATGTCTATTTATAGACGTTGAATTTTAAAAATCCCTCCAATGCACTTCTTTCGAATCTTTTTACATTCTCTTATTTTCTTTTTTGATCTATAATTTAATATACAACTAATCACTATAGAACATTAAATGTCCACGTCATCTAAAAGATACGTTCTATAATAAGTATGACAATATCTATTTTATTTTTTTATAAGACATATGTTCTATACTAGAATGTGTGATTGCCTATTTTTTTTTTTATAAGTTAGCTTCACGTAGCAAATAGACATTACCATTAGAGCGCAGTTTTTCTAATGTAACAATTAAATAAGGGTAATTCAAACTTTAATATATTTAGAAAGAAATTTAACTTTACTGGGGAAGTCTCACCCTCTAATGCTCACTTTCAATGCAGAAATGGGGAAGCAGGGTTAGGTGCGGTGACTCCGTATGTGACCAATGGCCTAAGGACTAACTTCTAAATGATGGAGGGCACACTTTTTGCAGATTAACACATATCCAACATCTCTACTATAACCAAGTGCTCCACGTTTTCTTCTAGAATAATGTGTTATGCATATTTGATGGACTCGTTTTAAGGCTCTACTAAACCAATATACATATATATATAATAATAGGAATAGTGGTTCAACAATGATAATGGATATAATACTCTATAAATTGTGTACATACATATAGAAACAAACAATTTCTGTTCTTGCTTTTTACATGCCTCAGGAGATTTTTTTTTTCATACATTTTATAACTATAAAGTCATCTCCAAGGGAAAAGTTTGGAACACCACACCATCTCATCATCTTTCACCCATCAATGACTCTAAGAGGGCTGCTTCTTCCTCCTGTCAAGAGATAGAAATCAATACAAGTTTTTCAGCAAGGAATTAATGGATTTTGTGAGCAACAACATACCACCAGGGCATTAAATTCAGTCTCCTCATCTATGGCACTTATGATAGCCGGGTCCTCCAGTAAATCCTGTTTCCATGAGAGAAATCAGTGCAGAAGTGGTACATCGAAGCCTACATTTGATAAGCTATAATAGAATATAATGTTATGTAAAATGTTTTTTAATATAATGTTTGCACTAAATGTATTTCATATGCCAAAGTTTACTACAGGAATTGAACAGCAAATAAGTTATTAATATATATATATATATATTGCTTACATCATCAGCAATTTGCAGTTGTCCATTTTGATCCTGCACAAACAAAATTCAGATATCTGAGTTCCATCACTGCCATATGAAAAGACTCCTTGTTCTGCTGCCAATTTCTTGAAATTATTCATCCTCTGATGTTCTTTAAGAAATTATAGAAGGGGAAAAAGGTCCCATCATAAATGAAATTAAATCAAGCTTCAAAAGAAAAAAAAAAAAAAAAAAATAATCAGCTTCAAAAGAAAAAAAAAAAAAAAAAAAAAAATCAGCCAGCATTATCGAGTTTAGCATAATGTAAGGGTTTTGATAACTTTTGTTACAACCTCTTAAGGTTATGAAGTGATCATTTGTTAGCATGCCTTTTAGTTATTTCATCTTACCGTGTCGAGCTTGTGAACATACAAAAAGGCTGCCATATTAGCAGGTAAGGAGTTAGCTAAATCCAGATTTAAAGCCATAACAGCTTTCTTTTCTTTTCCAGAAATGGGCTTTAACTAGATTGAGCCATCAATTTCCACGAGACGAAGAATTTTTTTTTTTTTTTTTTTTTTTTTTTTGGTACTCTTTAACCTGGATCCTTCGTTACGGATCCATCCATTAACATAGCTTTTTAATTTTGATGCAGATATTTTGAGAAGAGACTCAAATGAATGTCACCAAAGAGGTCATAATTAAATGATTGAAACTGCAATTCTATGTTCGCGAGGAACAACATTAGATCCCATCCATCTTTCCAAGAACGGAATATCTACCATTACCTTAACAGCAACAAAGAGAAGTGGGTCAGATGGGGTATAAATCATGTAATGAGCACCATCCTGCATAAAATAAACACAAAAAGAAATAAATGAACCCAATATATGGGCAGTGCAAATCCATAATCATCAAATATGAACATCTGTTATTAAGAAGGGATCATTAGGAGTGTCTTGGACCTGCAACCACTTGAAGCAAAAAGCTGACAAGGTCACAATCTGCATGTTTCCCTTCTTAATATCCTAACTTTGACTACACAATAATAAAAATGACAGAGCCAGAGAAAGAGCCAGAGAGAAACCAAGACCATTCTTGGTGTAGGACCTTATTGTAAATTAACATGACAATTCAACTAGTCCATTCAGAAAAACAATCAGTGTAGTGGATATTCCCGTACTTTCAAACCCTAAACAGTTCTTTTAATATATTCAGGATTAACCAACTATTTGTATAAATTATTCCACTTCGGAGAAAGAATAAAACAGTTCGCTCAATGAATAAATATCACCGTGTTTTGATAATTCACACATTTTTCTACAAATGATCACTATACAGTTGAAGCCATGATTTCTTCTTTTCCATGTTTTTGTGACCTGTCCACTTGTTCAAAGTAATTCACTAAAAGAAGCCTGTTTCATTTTTTTTTTTCTTTTAATACCAAAAAAGCATTACATTTTAAATTATCTTCCTCACTTTAAAGTTCATCACCATTTTATATCTATTATGCAAACAATACCATTTACAAACATACCGTAGGAAATGAAAATTTCCTCAACCATAAATTGCCAAGAGCCCAACAAATTAATAGATATTCAATACTTTCACTGTTTTTCTGATCTTTAGTTTCATGACAAAGAAATATGTGTACAAATATAAAGAACATAAAGGGAATTATACTTGTGTGACAACAAGGCCCTCAAAATAAAGGGCTAGATTTTCTCCAGTGTTATGTACATGAAAAACATATGATGCTTGTATCACCTACAAAGAGTAGGGGTAAACATTCAGCCAATTCGATCAATTTGAGTAAAATTTTTAACCCAAAGAAATAAATTGAAATTTTTTTTTTACTTAACCGAATTAAGTTTTTAATTGAACTTAATTGAAACATTTTGAGCGAATTAATTTTGATCATTAACCGACCGAATTTAACCGAAATTTTTTATTAACCGACTTTAACAGAAATAAAAATTAACCAAAATTATTAATCACTACTTAATCAAAAAAAAAAAAAAAAAACTAAAAAAAAAAAAAAAAAAAAAAAAAAAAACTGAAATATTTTCAATTTTAATTTTATTATCTACTTGATCAAAACGACGTAATTTGAGTCGGTTAATTTGATTAATTCGGTTAAATTAACTTTTAACCGATCACTGAAATTTTAATTTTCTTTAATCGAACTTTTAACCAAACATTTATTCAATGAACCGAATTGGCCAAATTAACCGAATTGGCCGAATAAAACGAATTGGCCGAGCCGAATGCTCACCCCTAGTCAAGAGGCTCATATGTAGATATTATTTGTTTATTGGGCAAGTATGACTCAATCCTATGAATATTAGATTATATCAATGTAATGCATTCATTTCTATTCTTGCATTATTCACTGCCAACCATACAAGCAGAAAATTAAAAAAAAAAAAAAAGGAAAGTGGGGCTTTTTTTTTATCATTTTCTTCTAGATTTTTATTTTTTTCCCTGCCCCTCACACCAACTACATGGATGCATGCATTTAAACAAAAATGCGTCCATCAGGAGAATTACATATTTGCACCTGGAGCAATTTCAATGCTACTGCAATCAAGACTCAAGAAAAGGATGAACAAATCAGGGAAACATAGACAAACATAAAGAAACTAGGATCATATGCTTCTAGTTTCCAATGATTCAATTCATAAGAACTAACTCTCAGTGATCGAATGTTATGGAAGCAAAAAATCCATTCACATGTATAATTCTTATGTTCCCAAGAAAAAAACATGAAAAGAGTTAAAACACTAAATTTATCAAGGAACACATCCAAAAGAAATGTATTTTAGCAAGTATAGCACAAAATTTTTTAAAAAACATCGAATGGTTGCAAATCCTGTTCAAACTAAAAAAAAGTAAAGTGGAGAGCCAAAACATTAAAGAGAACGCGAATTGGTTTATGTAAAGACCATTTCTCATGATTTTTGGAAGATGTGGTTAGGTTATCAATGAGCCGAGCCGTTCATGAGCTGCTCAAGGCTCAACTTGATAAAAGCTTGCTCAAGCTCGTTCAATAAGCTTATCATGCCAAGAGCTCATTTAATAAACAAGTCAAGCACAAAAATGGCTCATTAGCTCGCGAGCCAATTTTACTGAGCGGACCTAAGATTAATTAAACCTGCACCAAAACAACGTCAATTTGGTTTGATTGGTGCGTTCTTATTGGTTTGGTAGATTTCATGCTCAAGCTCAAGCTTCATTTGCAGTTATCAAGTGGAGCCCGAGCTTGGCTATTTTTAAATGAGCTTGAGCTTGAGCATATCCATATCGAGTTGATCTCAATCTAACTAGAGCTAGGCTTGTTAACAGCCCCAGATGTGGTCTAAGAACAGTTTTTAGATTCTAATATTCAACCACATATTAGAAGTAGACTTTTTGAAACATTATCAGAACTAGATTCTACAATAGTCAAGGATACCTCCACATCTTTTGACTTAAACATTCAAGTTTGCTTGCCCTCAAAATAGACCAGAACATACAATAAAAGAATAAAAATGGTTCGCAGAAAAGCCTAGTGCAAAATTGTAGCCAATTATGCCAGACACACAAATATTGATACACAATTCTAAACACACAGACTCCACTAAATCCAGGACTATTAATTAGAACAAAGATATGAACATAAAACTACATGCTCTCATTAACAATAATCACATTACCAGATGGAAGCATGTAATTTCTACACCTTCAGTGGGTAATCCATCTACATCTTGACCATCATCTGTAACATGTTACAAGCACTACAAGTTAGCAAAATATCTCATACAAGAAGCATACTCATATCAGAAAATTTCAAATTTAAAACTTTATTTTTTGGAGCACCACCACTGCCCAAGGATATGTAAGAGAAACACCAACAGACAGGGTAGGGAGAAATATGAGTTCTAAAAAAAAAAAGATAAATAGATAGAGAAAGTAAAAAGAAAAAGGTCCCGAACTTAGAAACATCAATAAATAAAAGCAACAAAATAACACAGAGAACATGCATGTATAGAAACA